CTCCATTTGAGGTTAACAATCTCAAAGGCACTAGAGGGGTTGCACAGCCCAGGATCCAAAAGCACTTGGTGCTCAGCATCCTCGAGCAGGCCTGAGGACTGCTCGGACACCAATAAAACACGAGGGGAAAGCTGAACTTTCTGTGACAGAGTTCCTCCTATAGGCATTGTAACTAACGAGTCCCTCTTATAAAAAAACTAAACCAAAAAAGCAATAATCCAAAAATGGCTCCACTCTTAACACTAAAATTTGGACCCCCAGGCCTGCCGTTATTGGCGCTATATCAAAGCTACCAAACATCCTCTCAATGTCTCATATGGACTGAAAAATAAGCAGTGTGAACACATGAATTTTTGTATGGCACCTATGAAATTATCGGGTAAACATTTGTTGTACTTGGACACAATTATGTAGACATGATTGCTAAATTGAATCTGTTACTGTTCTAAATGTGTAGATTTGTGTGGCTTTGATTTTTAATTTTGGTTTTATTTTTTTTATCTTAAATGCTACACTTGTGTGACATGTAGCAACTGCACTGTGCAATATACATCAATTTGAGGACTGGGGAAATGATAATTGTTTGGTTGTAATTATGTGTGTCTTACCAGTTTGCAGTCGTTTTCCTGCCCCTCGCCCCTCCTCTAGTTCTCAGTGAGTTTCAGTGTGACCAAGCCGTATATACTTTGTCACAAAAAGCGGGTTCCTTCTTGGTGACTCTTATTGGTGAGTGTCAAATTATGAAATGATGGTGTACCATGTCAAGATTCACTTGGAATTAAAAAAAGATCTTTTGCTTCAGTCTGTGTCTGCCTCTGATTGTACACTGATGATTCGTGAAAGTTTATTTAAAGGGATTAAAACACGAAATGTGTTTGTTGGGATCATATTAAAGTGGACCCATTGTGTTCATTTCTAGTTCCATATTTTTATCCCTGAACTGTACTACAAAGGCTTGGCCTGACTGACAATATTCCTCATTTCTCCTATACTGGCCTTTGTGCTCCCTCTTGGCTCATCCAGTGTCTGAAATTAGTGCAGAGCAATACTGCAGCATTGATCCAATACCAATTCAACACAGGGCCAGTATTTCCAGTGCTGATTCTGATACTTTACTCTGCTTCTGTATGGTGGGTGTAGTGTGTTGTGATTTATCAGATCATCATTAGTTTGCAAATTCTGAACACATTTGATTAAATCACAGACAGGGATGCAAATGGGGCAGACCCAGGACACGCTGGAGAGATTATATCTCTCGGCTGGCCTGTGAACGTCTTGGTGTTCCCGCAGACAAGCTGGAGGAGGTGCCTGGGGATAGGGAGGCCTGGGCTTCTCTGCTTAGACCTCTCCCCCGCGACCCAGCTCTGGATAAGTGGAAGAAGATGGATAGTTGGACTGTAAATGTGCCTCTCTCTAGTGAAAGTAATCAAAGTACTGATCCTCTCACACTTGTATCAATCTGATACAATGCCAATGTTGGTATTGATGCTATCAATATTTGTCTTGATCCGCCCACCTCCTTCTGAAACAAAGTGCCTAACACTACATTTAACCCTGCTGTTTCTCTGTTGTACGCATTTTTAGTA